CTTATTAATCTTCAAGGGTCATAAGGTAATTTAAAATTGCAGAAATTTAAACTTTGTTAAGGATAGAAAATTGTTTATATTTGTCTGGAAAGTATAAGCCTTTGATATAAAACATTTCAAATTTGTAAAATGTTTAATTTATATAACTAAAGAAAATGTAATACATAAATGTATCCTTCAAATATGAAAAGTTTTAAAATGTTCTGAAGGACGGTTTATAAAGTGTTAAGCAAATTTAAATTTCCTTGAAATTTTGTAGAGTTTGAAATTTCAAACAATTATCACTTTAGCTGATGGTGTTACCAACGCATGTAGGCCAAACACGATGAGCAGAAGTTATTAGTAAAATTAGTAACTGTATATTTGTGATATTCACAAACTTATTTTATTATCAACCGTGCAAGGATATATATTTAAAACATTTTTGATAAGAGTGCTATGCAATGATTTACTGGGCGAAACTATGTTACGATACAGTTTGTCGCGATGGAAGCATTCGTTTAGGAGAAATCGATCGACACTTATGTACGTCGAAACCACTCCAATCGTAACGTACTGAACATCGCTGAGGACATTGGAAAGCTTAAGGAATATTGGATAAAAATGAAACTGTAAAAATCCTTTTAAAAGTCTAAAAAAAAGAAACAATTCTATTCTTATATATTTTGAATTTTCTTGAATTTTTGTACACCTCGTTGCTTTTTTATCATATATTTGTCACTTGAAAACTCTAAAAAGATATAAAAAAATATGTACACCTTGTGGAACAATTTTATCGTATAATATTTTAAAATATTATATCGTTTTCGTATTGAAATTGTTCAGATATTTTCGATAGTAGTTTATAATTGGTATAAAAGAGGGAGCACTTTATATGTAACGTTATACAGTTGCTTTATTGACCAGCCAAGTAGTTTGTAATGTTTGAACGTTCGTAGAGCGTTCATTGCCAACCAAAGTGATGCTTACGACGTTTGGTGGAAGTTCTAGCTTTCATAAGAAATCAATGATGTGTCCAGATCATGTTCCTCGACGGGGAAATGGTAGCTGAAAGTGCCAATGTTGCCAGAATAAAGGTGGCCATTTGTATGCATAGTTATGGAGATATAATTCTACGCACGTGTCTGTACATAAATTATCATTAGGAAATTTTTCGTAACTGTTTACAGATTCCGAAGATAAAAAGCTTCCTTTCGTATATCTGTACACGTAAAGAAAAAAACGAAAAAGAAAGATTACTTAATCAGAAAAATAAAAAGATATTTTTATCTGTATAAGTGCTTACAATAGATTTAACGATTTATTAATGTAAAATTTTCAAGGTACAACATGCATACATTAGTATCGATGTACGTATAAGTTTTACTTATATAAAATTACACCTACGATGTTTTTTAAATATACCTTATAAATAAATTCGCACCTTACTGATTTAGTTGGTGACTTATTGTTAGAATAATAAGTGATGTGACATTTTTTTCAGAATTTTTGAAATTGCATGATTTTGAAAAATTTATAAATGAAAAATTTTGTTAATAAAAGGATTTTGTTTCAAAGCGACATACGTTTGTATTTTTGCCGGAAAAAAAATATTGTCCCATAATTAATATGTCGTAAGTAGAAACGAAAAGTAGCAACAGTGCTGAAATTATAAATGTACGCAATTTAAATAATTCGCTTTTTAAATCCCGAAAACTCACGGTCAATTGTTCTATCAATATGGAAGTATAATTTATCATATTCATTTGAATAGTTACATTAATGAAATGTATGATTGTTCTCAATGTGTAATGTATTAGATCTAATGCTTATGTTACGTAATCATTCTTGATAACATTGTTTTATTTGCCTAACAAAATTATATGCAATTTTATGATAGGGAGGAAGTTCTAAATTCTAGTTTCAATGGAAAAGGACAGTGTGAAACAAGCTCCAGATCAATTTAAGTAAGTAAATTCGTTTAGAGCCAGATAATCGTGATATAAAAACACAGAATAAAGAATCTCGTAACTGTAATAAAGAGAATTTGTATTCGGTACAATAAAAATTCTCATAATTAAGATAGAAAAAAAGAAAGAAGAAAGCATTCATAACCAATAATTAATAACGTGTAAAAAACAATTTGTTTTCTGTCGTATTTTTTTTTAGACTTCTTCCAAAAATTATAAATGGCGGGATCGCAGGTATTATTGGTGTCTCCGTGGTATTTCCACTGGACTTGGTTAAAACACGATTACAGAATCAAGTTATCGGCCCTAATGGCGAACGAATGTACACATCTATGTGAGTGATTAGAATTTTCAACGAACCTTTATCAAACTTAGGAAAAAAAAACAATATGTAACATTTCTTTTATTAAATTAAAAATATCATTCGTTTCAGGTTCGACTGCTTCAAAAAAACTTATAAAGCTGAGGGATATTTTGGCATGTACAAAGGATCTGGTGTGAACATTCTTTTAATCACACCAGAGAAAGCAATTAAACTCACTGCCAATGATACTTTCCGTCACTATTTATCCACCGGGCCTGGGTATGTTGTTTTTCCAGCTTCATTAGGAATATCAAGATGGAATCATATTAATAGTCATAGTGATTATACTAGTACCGATATTAATAAATATACCAATACGGACATTAATATTCACATCGATACCGATACTACCGGTACTAATTCCTTGCATGAATATTACTAATACCGATATTGATGTTGATATCAATGCGGTATTGTTCTACAGGTTCTGGTATCGATAATAACTAAAATCTATTAATTTTCTGCACAGACAGAAACTGCCATTAGAACGCGAGATGCTCTCCGGTGGTCTAGCGGGAGCATGTCAAATTATTGTCACGACCCCAATGGAACTGCTCAAAATTCAAATGCAAGATGCTGGACGAGTGGCATTAGCAGCGAAAGAAGGTAAATATATTTTGGAAAGTATTTATTAATTAAGAGAGAAAGTAAATATAATTTTCAGGCAATAGTTACATCGTTCAAAGTAATTGTCAAAAGACTAAACAAAAAGGAAGACGTAATTATTATTATTAAAATGAATTATTTGTAAAGAAATCGGGCGAGCAAGTACATATTTTACCATTTTTTTTTATTTTAATACATATGAACATATGATGGATAAAAATTAAGATCAAGATTTTGAACGAAAAGTTTCATTTCGTTCGATTCATGTTTACAGCTATGTGACATCCGCGATACCCGATAAAAATTAGGGAAAGGAAGATTTATTTGAAGATGGACGACAGCGTATCGAATATAGATCGGTAAACGGTTTGAGAGGATTGCGTTTGCTTAAAAATTAGCGTAGATTTTTCAATTGTTAACGTATTTTCCAGTACTGAATTGTAATATTTAGTAATCTGACCTGTTCTAAAAACGTTATTTTTGTAAAAACAATGTTCAAATATTTTTTTTTAATTAATTTTTTATGAACTGTTTTTTCAGTAAAAAAAATTCTATTTGACCATTTGTGAAAAACATGCATTCAACCCTTGATTTCTGAAAACCTGGCATTTGTGTTCCAGTTTTTGTTCATAATGATTTTGAAAAAAGGTATGCTTATATACAATAATCTGCAACCGTAATATCTAGTGATTTCAATTACTGTCAAATTGATAGGAGACTCGATTCCAGAACCGTTTTGGAACCGATATAGAATTGAAAAAATAACGGTTCTAGAACCGATATGAGAACCGATATAGTCAGAAATTTCGGTTCCTTATAATAGTTATATAGAATAAAGGTTCTCTACAATTGTTGCAAGAATAGAAATCCAATCCCTGGTTATGCCTAACTTGTTAAAGTGTGTTTTTTTCCCCTTCATATTGAAGGATCCTCCTTGTGTGCTATCAATACTGGTCGTTTATTTTTTCAGTATAAAACATAAAACTAACTGATATTGACTATAGAATAAGATTAATTAATTTCATCATTTTAGTAGTGTTAATTGTCTTCACTGATATGAGCTTTTCATTTCATTTCAAAAGCCTAATGGTTCTAGTTTATTTATATTTTTATAATCACTCGTGAAGTGATATCATTGTGTCGATTCTGTTATTAAAGAATTATTGTTAAAAAATTGCAAAATACCTACTAAACATACTATGACAAATTTTGTTGGTTCAGTTATTGTTAACAAACGACCAATAATCATCTTTATTAATGCCAACAAAGTGATTTATTCACATAAATAAAAATAAATGATTCTATTACAGCAGGGAAAACAGTGCCAAAGGTGTCAGCTCTGTCGTTAACGAAAGATTTACTGCGAAAGAGAGGCATCTTGGGACTTTATCAAGGCACAGGTGCGACAGCGTTAAGAGATGTTACGTTTTCCGTTATTTACTTCCCATTATTCGCTAGATTGAATGATATTGGGCCAAAAAGACAGGATGGCTCCTGTAAGTGTCTTTATAACACTTAAAACAATTTAGCCTAAATATTTATCGATACTTTAATAATTTGACAAGCATTTTCTACTTTATTATCTAGCCGTATTTTGGTGGTCCTTTTTGTCTGGTTGTTCAGCTGGTTCTACAGCAGCGATATCGGTTAATCCGTTTGATGTAATTAAAACTAGATTGCAAGTAATCAAAAAAGCACCTGGTGACATAACATATAATGGCGTGTTCGATTGCATAACGTAAGTGTACATAGTCTTTTAGAAATATATTTGTATTTGTATATAAAATCGTCTTCTATGCTGTCTCCTTTATGAATATATGATTTTACAGAAAAACAATGAAGAATGAGGGTCCAACGGCGTTCTTCAAAGGTGGAGCATGTAGAATGATAGTGATAGCACCCCTTTTCGGGATTGCACAAACCGTTTACTACCTCGGCGTTGCGGAGTGGCTGTTGGGTCTTAAGTGAACATCGCCTTCTACTCTCCTCTGCCGTTTCAAATACTCTGGGATTAAACTGACAATAACTGGCATATTATAGATGTATTTTCGCTTAGTATGGTTCGCTAGTTGCTGAGTAAGTGAGTTGTTCTTCTTCTTAATTATTTTAGAACCTTGGTTATCAAATGCTTGTAAGAATGTATTTCAGATGATTTGTTTGATACATTATTGTGTTCGAAAAGTGTACCTTCTACCTTTGAGATGTATTTATTATTAACACAGTATAATTGTTTGCTTATTTCCAAATTATTTAGGAGATTTTATAGTGTAATAAATTGCCCAACACTTAATCATTATAAATAAACTTGAAACTCCTAAAAAAGACTTAAATTTTTATTAAATAGCAGGTTAAATGATATTTTAATAGTAATACGATTTTAAGTTTAAAATTCATCGGATAAAGTCGAATTAGAAGATAAAATTTTAGTTTGATTAAATAGAAGAAAAAGTTGAATATATTTAGTTATTAAGTTTATCGAATTATTTTTACGCATTTTTTAAACAGTTTCTTCAGGTAATCAAGGTTCTATTGTGCTACATCAACGTTTATAGATAACGTTGATTCTGGCCGAGTATTATAACTGAATGAAGATAAAATCCATGATTTGTGACCAAGTTCGCTTATTTTCACTATTGACGAACTAGTCAAAAATCGTAGAGTTTATTATTCCCGCCTTATCTGCCTCCTAAATAAATTACTTCTTCAAAAACCAGTGTTTCCAAATTTTTTTCGTATTTTTTTATTTTAATCCTTCCAAGTTAAAAAGTTATTTGCTAAATTAGCTAAGCTTTTACTAAATAAAACAAAACTATTATTTGCAAATTGTTTTAAATTTATATTTAACTATAAGAAATAAATCAAAATAACCAAGGAATATAAAGTATTACATATCTATACATATGTAATAAGAAATATCATTAATGAATATTAAATAAACCACAGAGTCGATTAAAAATTGCACTTTTAAAATTTTTTGTAAATGCATTATGACAATGGAAACACTGGTGCAGAATGTTGTGATAACAAAAGCTTACATTTTATAAGATTTTGGTTTTATTTGTGATTCTAGTTAATTCTATTGTCAGAGATTATTACCATTGTAAAAATCAAATGGTATGGAGTGACTCTTAATTGGTATGATTAAGAATAAATTATAAAAAAAGCTGTATTCATTATTAAGCATAATAAGCAATGTATTTTTTGTTGCGATTTTTTAAATTAAGATTTAATATATTATTTTACGTTTTAGTTACATAATTATTCTAAACATATCTAAATTGAGAGAATGGAAGATTTTTTTAAATGAATTTTAGTATAAAGTATGTTTTGTACTTTTTAGAATAATCACTTTGAAAATATTATACCAATTAAGAGTTAAATTTTTCTTCTTCCGTTTTCCTCCTTAGGAAAGTTTGCGCGAAAATTCTAGAGAAATTTCCCAAAAGGGG